CCTGCATACAGATTTCTCAGGAGACAGGTAAGGTGGTCTGGTATTCCCATCTGGAGAAGGAAATGGCAACCCACTCCAGTATCCTTGCCAAGAAAACCCCATGGACAATGTTGAGTTTAAGGCCAAAATATTATTGGATTGTATGTCAGAAATGAAAGAATACACAGTGAGCTTTCTGCTGTAGGTTTAAAAGCATTTTTTTTTTAAAAAGCTGCTAGTCCTCATAATCTACTGAGCTATTTAAGATTGGAAATACTGTTTGTCTACTATCTCTGTTCCTAATTCTGTGCTACTTGATTGCAAAGAAAAAAGTAAAAAATTCAATTTTATAAATTATTTGAATGCAAAATTGAAGTTGGTTGCATTGGTGTCCCGTGTGAACACCTGTATTCCTGAGCTCTGTAGAGCATAATACCCTGAATTTCTTAATTACAAAAGATGGAAAGATTGAGATGGGCAGTCGTTTTCTTCTTGAGAATGAATTCACATTTCAAACTTTGTGATTAAGGCTGATCAGGATTCTTATGGACTTGCAGAGCTCTGGAGTGCTTCAGATTCAGTTTGGAAAAGATGCTTTGAAATATGCAGGACCACAAGTGTACCTGTTTGTGAATTGTTAAAACAGATTCATCTGTTTCTAGGGTTGGGAGGCTACAGCCGAAGCTTCCCCACAGCAGTGGTGTGGTCTTGGAAATAGATGCAGCTGCTTTAATGTGCACAGAATGGAAATTCTGTTTTGCTTTGAGCTCAGCACAAGCCATTGCATTCCAGAAGTTCTGCCAAATTGTTTCAGCTCAATCATAATTCAGAAAAAGCAAAACCTAGAACACTTTGGTTGTTTTGGGTGTCAAACAAAACAAAACCTTAAGTAATTGTAGAGAGACCCTGGAGTGAGTTTACAGGTGCGAAGGACAATGCTGGTGTGTATCATCCTTCCTTCCCTCAACAGCTCCCAGCATAGCACATCCCGTCCATCCACCTGCCCCCTAATCTTCCTAGCACATTGCCCTCCTTCCCTCCCCCTCCCACCAGCCCCCACTGCTGGTGGTGTCCCCCTACCCCCACTGCACTTTGCTTGGAACAATTATGCTTTGTTCTGTACTTGAAACAAAACTGTCCCATTTCATTCCATGTATGAATCAAAATGAACACGTGTTTCAGTTTTGGCACCATGCACAGCACATTTTGCAGTTCCCTGCTTAATCAGTTGCAGATAAGTCCTGCCATCCTGTTCCCATGCCTTTTGGAGTAGTTTTTCTGAATCAGATATGAAGCCTTGCGCAGCTTTACATTTTGCATTCTGAAAAGCATTTTAAATTAAATGCTTTTAAGTTAAGGAGGATGCTATTCTTGCTGAAACAGTTGCAGGTCATCTGGGGAAAGCCAGGAAGAGAAGATCGGGAAGAGAGATCTTCAGGGGGATGAAATTGTCTGTTTTTCTTGTGTTTGGCAGAGGTTCAGGCTAGGATTCAGTAGGCTTTCAGCTGAATCATATGATTAGAAATCTGAAGGGAAACCCATAATTGCTCTCTTATTTAAGTTATGGGTGTTGTAGAGTCCTGCTAGTATTCCCTACAGTGGAACTCACTTGGATAGGATATGACATTATATGCAATTCTGCAGATGAGGAGGCCGGGGGAGGGGGGCAAGACAACAGAGTTGGACCTTTTGAATCCAAGCCAGTGTGTTCAAAAAGAAAAGGTCAGGAGTTGGAATGAGAAGGTAATGGGGGAGCACTAGACTGCTGGAGTGATAGTCTCCTCTTTTCTGAACTTGGTGGAAGTGGACAACCAAGACATCCAGCTGGTGGCAGTGTAGCCATTTATGTCATGAAGAAAAATCCTGCTGTTTTTTTTCCTTCCTGTCAATTTTGATAATTATTTTTAGAATCTCTGATGAAGAGCATTTCTGAGACATCTTAGGACAAAGTGTATGTGTGAATGTCCTTCACTATGTAATCATCTCCAACAGCTTATTCGCCCACATTTTCATTCCGTCCCAAGAGACAATATCCAGGTGGATTTTCCCTTGGGGATTTCTCACATAAGGCAGCTCGGGAAGCTTCAGAGTGATGGAGAAATGTGGAAGAGAGAGCAATGTCAATAAAAGCCCCTCTGCCACCTCCACCAAGACTAATTTAAAAGAAGTTCTCACATACTCTGAGAATAAAGTTGGAAACCAGAAACCTCTTTTGTAAGAGAAAAACCCTGAGAAACTACAAGGTGCATTTTGGCTCACCATAAATGTTAGTAGCTTGGAACAACTTTTTCGGAGAGCTATTTGACCAAAGCCAGCATTCAAATGAATCAGTGAAAAGTTCAGAGTTTATCAACTCTGCAGCAGCAAGAAGGAGCAGACATCTTAAGATATATAATGTTTCTTTCGCAACATGACAGATGCATCATTCTTCTTTATACATTTCATAATGGGAAATGTGTTCAAATATCAGCTGAAATTAGACTTCCCACATGAGAACTTTAATCAGAAATCATTTTATGTAACTCCAGCATTATCTGCTATTTGTAGGACCTAGAGACGATAAATCAGAGATTCATATCTTTACTGCATTTTTGTACTTGCTCAGTAGTGTTACTTTGATAGGTCATAAATTGTTTTGTCCTATCATCTCAGTATATCTTAATTGCAGTCATATCTAGATGTGTGTACAACCTATAAATAAGAGATGAAAGAATAACAACAAAAACTAGGTATACCTGTCTCACCATCATGCTAGAGAATTTTCTTGTTTTTACACTAATATTTGCTAATTGGCAGACTGGTTCAGGAATTATTCTCTATTCAGTTATCCAAATATTTCATCTCACCTTTTTTTATTTGTCATTTTTCATCAGCCTGGAGTGATTGACAAGTTTACTAGAGACACCAAACCAATTATTAATAAAGTGGCCTCAGTGGCAGAAAGCAAAGGTCTGTTTGAAGAAGCTGCCAAGCTTTATGACCTTGCCAAGGTAAGCGGGTTTTCAGCCTGGGCAAAGAAATCAATTTAATGTTTAGACTGGTCAGAATTACAGGTATTTCATCTCTAAGAATATTAAGTTAATTATACAACACTAGGACTAACCTGATCCTTTTAATCTAGCCATGCTACTTTTTAAATTGATCGATTATGATTATTATATTACACTGATTGATATCACATTGTTATCAACTCTTAGCAACCACACTGATAGATTTTCTCCAGGACATTCTGTCCCCAGTCTAATCCTTCAGATCTTCCAATGATATACACATTACCACTGTATCTGATATTTTAGGGCCTCCTTCAAGAGCATTCATATTTGAGCCATAAAATAGCGATATTTATGGTTAATAATATTAATTTGTAAATTGTCATTTGTGAATCAGGACAAGCTGGGGAACAATGGAGCTGTTCATCAGGTTTTGTAGCACTGGAATGAACTTACTGGGACATTGTTAACCCAGAGTATAATATATGTTTGCTATGAAAACAGCCTTGAAGCATACAGTAAACATTAGGGCCATGAAGCACCCTGGATACGATCTCAGAAAGATACTTTGGAGCACAAAGATAGCATGGTACCCAGGGAGGTGGGAGGGCATTTTAAATAAAATGAATGTTTGTTTGATCTATCTCCTGCTCCTTAAACCAGACAAACCTTTTCCCAAGATTGCATTGTTGCCAAGAACCATCACACAACCTTGAGAAAGACATGGCTGCTTTAAAGAGTTACAAAGAGGTGTTACGTTTGCACACCAAAACACCTTTTGGGGATCAAATCTGAAGCACTGCCCATCCTTAATAAATATTTAATGCTGAAAATAATTTTATCAATTTCATTTAGTTCTTTATGATCTTGGAATGCTACTCAGACTATTTCAGTGTTTTATTAATATGAATATTTATGTGTCATATTTGTGTGTTGCTCAGTGGCTATTTTCTTTTGTTTTGTAGTACTTAATTTTAGCACAGTTCACAAAAGTCATAAATAGCCAATAGGGGAAAAATATGTATTTCTATTGGCATTAAGGTAAAGTTAGGCTTAGGGTTTCAGCTCCTTAAGTCCTTAGGATTCCTTAAGTAGGAGTAATATATTCATTGAGAATAGAGATTTCATGAAGGCTGAATAGTCAGCAAAAGAAATATGCTGGGGGGATGTGGGTGTGCGCGCGTGTATATTTATGTATAGCTCTTAAATTCACAAGAAGCATGGCTGAGAAATCTATCATGTATCTTTCTTAAGGCTTATCTTACCTTTTCACTGACTTTGCTCACTGCCACCAATCTCAGTTTATCAGGAAAGTTCCTAGGGTGTACCAGTAAGCCCTTCCTTCTCCCCCTTCCTCCCCTATGATTGCTGCTTTACCTTCTCCTTTTCAAAAGGCCTTCTAACTAAGTTCTGCAATGCCCCCTTTTCCTGTTTGTGCATTCCTCAGAATCCTGACAAAGTCCTTGAGCTGATGAACAAGTTGCTAAGCCCTGTAGTGTCTCAAGTCAGTGCTCCCCAGTCCAACAAGGAAAGGCTGAAGAATATGGCACATGCCATTGCTGAGAGGTAAGAGAATCATCTGGGCCAAAGGCCTGAGAATTCCTGCCCATGCCAGATCAACAAAGTTTCTTTGACCTTGTCCACTGAAGTTTGGGAGAGGCCTTTAATTATTAGTTCAAAGAACATACTCAGGACTAGAATAGCATATATGCTACTTTTCAGGGTTGGATCTTATAGGGCTACCATATCTGGCCTGGAGACCTATAGAGAGCCACTAGAAAGCAACAAGAAATTATGAGTTTTGCCTATCTTTGCTGCCATCAAGTGGTCATTTGGGTTGTGCAGCCCAGATATATCACTCCTTCCATTGGTAGAACTGGAGAACAAAAAATAATTGGTACATGGGGAAGAGATGTAGTCTGCATAGTTTACATGTAACTAAGTCACTCAACCCTGCACTGAGAAAGAAATTGATTAAAGGCTCCCATGAACCCAAAGAAGCCATCCAGAAAGAGAAAGCTGCTCTCATACAGCCAAATAAAAACCACCTTCTCATTTGCATGTTGCTTGCTGGAGTTGCCTTTTCTGTTCCATAGGCAGAAAATGAACACAGGAGCCTTCTGGTGGGAACAGCCCTCCTTGCTCAGTTTTGCATTCCAATGTCTGGCTGTCAGCTCAGAAAAGAAATAAGGACAGGAAGCAAACTTATAGCAGCCAAAGGCTAAACTCTTGTTTTTTTAATCAGCCTCTGAAGGCTGCAAAAGGCATGAGCAGATACAAGGCTGTGTTTTAATTCTCCCTTGCAAGAAACATAACAAAAGTAGAAAATGCACAACCATTATTTGAAGGCTTACTGCCGGATTTTAGAAGGGCAACCTAGACATTTCTAGAAGATTCATAAAAAGGCCAGGGTGGGGGGCATTCTGTCTTATCCTGCCCTCTAAAATGCAGTGCTCAAAATCTGCACTTCAAAGTCCCATGGTCTGTTACAGTTTTAGTCAACATGAAAGGCCTCTTTTGGCCAGAGATCCTGGAGAACAGCTTTCCAGATAAACTGGGAATTCCCAGCCTTCAGCATGCGTGAAGGCTAGAAAGGATGGACTGCTTTTGGGAGGATGCCCGAGTGAGGAGGGTTGCCCTGGAGAGTCACTGGTTAGGTTTGTGCAATGTGCTGAAATTCATTGATATCTTGAGCATTGAACCTTAAACTAACTCATCAGGCTGGGCTGCCACAATATGCCAAGCCTCGAAGAGTTAAACCCTGCTTAAAACTAAGAAAGCATAGCATGTTCTGAGCCATTAGGTCTTTAATTGGCTGGCTGAGTATGTTGTGTGGACACAGCTGGCAACTGACTGAGATAGCCCAAATGGTCTGACCTGGTAAAAGCAGCTGCTTAGGATCCCCTCCTCTTTGCATCCACTTAACACAGTGTCAGGGGAACTGGAGTCCCCTAGTTTTCTTTACTGAGTTTGTGACTTAATAAGCAGGTTGCCAGCAAGTAGTGACTCCAGTAGAGGCTGGAGTGAGGAGACGGTTGCAGCCAATATAAATCTGGAATGAAGGATGCCAACAGCCAGATGGCCACAGAGAAAGTTTGACACCCCCTGCCTTGCTGGCACACAAATTACCTCAGTTGTGAACTCATGCAGGAGCTTTCAGCATCAGCTTCTCCCTCCCACTTCCAAGGGGAGGAAAGTGGGACTAAACTTGCCTGCTGGGTTAATTGTAAGCCAGTCTTCCCACACTGGAAGCCTTTAAAGGCTTTGGGACCATGAACTCTCAGAATTCACAGCCAGGGTGAATAACAGCCACAGTAGCTGGGAATTCTGGAGTTGTAGCTGCAGCACATCTGGAGGGAATCAGATCAGAAAAAGTTGCTTGTAAAGACTGGTCCAGTATGGGAAACCCTGAGTAAAAGTTAAGTGTGGTTTATTTGTGCTTGGGATCTGTCCCTTTTCCTAACTGCTGAATTGCCAGAGAACATCAAGCTGTGCAGCCTTCCCAAAGATTTAATGGCACATCTGCTTTCAATTTGTTGCAGATATAAAGCACAAGGAATAAGTACCAAGAAACCTGTTGATTCAACATTCTACCTTCTGTTAGACCTGATCACTTTTTTCGACGAGTATCATGCTGGCCACATTGATAGGGCCTTTGATGTAAGCTTCATCATCTTTTTCTCTTGAAACCGTAAAAATTTAGTAGACTTTGAGATTGAGTCTAATACTTTGCCTCCAGGAAAGGACAACCAGAGCTTCCTCTGAAATTTACAATGGAGAACGCTGCTGCTTGTTAACTGTTCTTGTCTTGATCTTGACTGAGGCAGCCCATGTAAACTGACTGGGTAACAGTAAAATGGTATAAAGAGGTGAGGGGTGGAAGGTGTTGGCAGAATTGTCATTACTATTCCTCTGCTTAATAAGTTGGTTTTACTTTAGTTTTGAATGTTTAGATTCTTGGTTTATGTATGATGGTGTTGCAATTTGATTATGTAATTGACAGGGTTGTACTGATTTTTGCCTAGTTATTTATCTGTTTGTACCCAAGTTACAGATGTGGGGGGTTATGTGCTACCCAGAGTCAGCTGATTGGAGGGACCTATCAGCCCTGGAAAAGAATAAATAAATAAATTGCCAGGACTGGAAAGGATTCATTGAGCAAAAAACAAGGAGGCCAGAGAAAAGATTTAAGATACAAGACCCCAAATATTTAAGCCCCACCTGGAAATATCCATAACATTATTTTAGGATAGGGACTCTGCTGGCCCACATAGAATGCTTATGATAGTGGTAGGGTAGGCCCTTTTGGCCATTCAGCACACACAGTAGTTAGGTTTGTAATGTAGGGGCTTTATCCTTGTTCCCCTCTCTAGCAGTTCTACACTACATGAAGATTTTGTTCCACTTTCCCACTGGCATGATTTGGGAGTACAGAGGCCATAGTGAAGAAGGTTGCAGATTGCTCCATTCCTGCTCTGACAAAGATCCAGTCAGCAGCTTGGATAGCAACAGTTACTTTGGAGTCTGGAGGGGATGTTTACAGCAGATTTTCCAACTTCCAACTCCTGGTGACTGCAGTTCCCAGCTGCGGTTGAAACTGACATAGTTCTGTGAGATTGGTCCTAGCAGTAATAAACTGGAGAAGTAGTGTGTGGATTTAAGGCTCTTCCTGGGGCAACAATCCTTGTTTAAAACTTAATTGGATCTGTAGGTGCTAAACAGAGCATTTATCTGTACATAAAAGGAGGTGAATGTAGAAGCAGGTGTTCTTCCAGCCATTTTGCCAATGCATTGTTCTTTCCATGTTTATTTATTGTAGCTTATTTATGCATCTTTCACTGCAGATCATTGAACAGCTAAAATTAGTCCCATTGAGTCAAGAGTATGTGGAAGAGCGAGTAGCGGCCTTCAGGCATTTCAGTGATGAAGTAAGCAGGTGGCACCTTCTGTCTTTCCCCTTCTCTGTCTGAATCAGGCACTTCAGCTTTCTTGGACTATGGGTGATGGTGACTGTTGCTACTGCTAGTTTTATTTGTTATGGTAGTAGCATTCTTCTCATGGATTTCCGTTTACATATCAGAGCCTTGAACTGTCACTGGGTTGGTAAATTGTCTGAATGGTGAGATCTGATCAGGCAGTGTTTTTCAACCTTGGCAACTTTTAAGATGTGTGGACTTCAACTCCCAGAATTCTCCAGCCAATATTTCCTAGCATGCTGGCTGGGGAATTCTGGGACTTGAAGTCCACACATCTTAAAGTTGCCAAGGTTGAAAAATACTGGACCACAGATTGATGGAAGAAAGATTTGCTCTGTTTGCACTTTAATCTACACCTAGCCCATTCTCACTTCCAACCCAGATGCGAGGTAAACATAATTATCCTCCACATTTGAAGCATTCCAAAATTAACCATTCAGATTGCCATAAGAAGTTGTGCAGATATGAAGCTCTTAGGGAAGAATATGTATAACTATGGACACATTGCTGAAAATAATACAGAATAATATTGTATTAGGGTCAGTCACTTAAAATCAATGCACCCATTAGGGTGTAGGCATACAAAAGTGCACAGTAATAATTGTGCATTCTTTTAAAAAATCACCAACTTGTGACAATGGATTGAAAGGAACTTAAGACTGGAGAAACTGAGTGAAGCTTCCAGATTTGTCTACCATCTATTATACTGGGTTGGAAAAAGTTTTGGTCACTCCCTCTGAGCACCCCACATTAATCTATATATATTTTGTTCTCAGGATGCCCCCAAACTGCTTTAGGAATGGGAATGGGGCAATTTCTCTTTGTCTTTCCTCTCAGAGTGATCTACTTAGATGGCAAACCTATTTGTCTCATTCAAAGTGGAATGAAAAGTTACTTTCAAAAGACTGCTTAAAGAGAGCTTGTCAGTTAAATAATGGGTTAATAGCAAAGTGAATTTGGAGATAAAAAGACTCTGAAAAGATGAACAGTATCTAATTGTAGATTACCCACATAATAATATAAATAATACATGGTACTTCTGTCTGCAGCTGGAATAATTTTGAGAAGTCTCTGGATTGAATTGGGAGAGGTTGCAGTGGGGCAGCATCTCAGGTGTTAATAAGGACTCTGACCATTGGAAGCTAACTAACTAAATAAATAAAAGTTCCCTCCTTCGCCATGTGCATTAACAGCATGTAAAAGCCTTTGAATCTGAGACCTGCCAGGTTCAAACAAGTTGTTCTGATCACACCAGAAATGTCCCAATGCAATTCCAGAAATATTCTGGGCTCAAAATGGTTCAGAATAAGCAGAATAACATCTGCATCACAACACTTCTGTTAAAATTGGAAGAGCTGTTTCAGAGGAACATTTTGAACTCAAAACATTTCAAAGTGTTTGCACTCTGTTATTTTCAAGGTCATGCAGTTCACCGTTGCCATATTGACTTGAAAGGGCCGCTTGAAAAAGCTGCTTAAGGGGGAAACTGCAAACAATATTTGGGGAGTATGAGATCACAAATCAACCACTCAAACTTCTGAAAGGCTGCAGAGGACCTGCTGGTGAGGTAGAGATCTCACTGGAAGGCAAATAGCTAGAATTTATCAGTCCATTTTTTCAGCTTTTTTTGTTTTTCACTTTTTTAGGAATAGCTAATGGAAAGCAAACTGCTTCTATTCCCATTCTTAAAGCCCTGACAACAGACTGGAATTGGCCCAGAAAGTTGTAACATTGGGCCTTTGTGGGGACTTGGTTTGTTAAGGGGGGAATGGAAATAGGAGACCAAATTTTGCATGTTCTCAGGGTTCAGCAGGCCATCTGAAGCCTACATGTTGACCTCCCCTGACATAAACTATGATCCAGAACCTGCCATGGATGAATCTCCCCCATTCCTGAACTAGTTGCCACCAAATGGAGCCTGCAGAACAATTTGATATCTACCTCAATGATCTCTAGGATCATCCAGTATGACCTTCAGCTCTCATTTTTTCTTTCATTCTGTTCATCTTTTTTTTCCCCTCTTACTTTTCTTAGATTAGACACAATTTGTCAGAGGTCCTCCTCGCCACAATGAATATCTTGTTTACCCAGTATAAGAGGTTGAAATGTACCAGCCCAGCCACGCCTGCTAGGCCCACCCGTGTCATTGAGGACCGAGATTCGGTAAGTTTTTTTCCTTAGTAGGCAAGGTCACCTTTTCAGCTCAGCAGTGACCATCTTCACAGTAGCGTAATAGGGTCCTATTTTTCACTATTGCATAAAGCTGTCCTAAGAAATCACTTGGTCAGAGACCCTTATTCTCCTAAGGAGAATGAGGCCAAGAAAGATTTTTGCCAAAGGCTATCCCAGGAATTAATGGCTGGGAAGAAATGTGGAGTCCAGTGACTGGATGATCCCTATCTTCTTTCTGCAGGTAATTTTTTTTCAACAGGTCTTGACTTTTGAGAGGTGTGCTTTGAATATTTCTTTGTCACATGCATTTTAATGCATGCATACACACAGGCATTCTGAAACAGACCTGAGTCATCCCTTTATATTCAGAGTTAATCTACAAGAAAACTGGCCACCTTCAGTTGAATGCAGTTGACATGCTTCAGGTCATCAGGTACCATGTTCCTAAAGGAATCTCCTTATTGTGCAAAGTATTTTAACCAGGTTCAGTTTCAGTATGGTTAAGTGCCATTAAGGCAGGGCAAAGGTGGCAGATACAGGGATAGTATTTGTTCTTCATTTTGTAGGATATGTTCTTACCAACACCTGAAAAGGATGTCAGGGGAAGAAGGCAAGAGGAGAGAGGGACAGAGAGAGCGGAGGGAGATTAGGAAAACACTGATTTCATCCAAACACTTCTGTCATCTATGCTTGAATCTGATCTGCCAAATCTTAGATCAGGAAGCTGTAAGGAGACCAAGGCTGAGCCAGGGGAGGCAGTTCTAGAAGAATACACGTCCAGCAGTTCCAGCATTGCTGTAGGTCATGCCATCCGGTGGATTCATTGGGGGATTGTATCTGGAGCTGAAGGGCATTCTCGTGCTGCTTGAGAACAGAAGGAGAAAGTAATTGGCCCTGAAACAGCCAGGGAATTGCGTGTGTGTGTGTGTGTGTGTGTTCCTGCTTTCTGTCTTTGATTAAGTTATTACAGTGAATGGAACACCTGCAGCTCCAGGGTGGCTTTAACCTTTGGGGTGGGTGCAACAGTGATTCAGTTTATGCTGTGCTGGTAGTCAAGGAAGAGGAGCCTCACCAGCCAAGCCAGTCTGAGCACCTGCCATAGTATAAGATAGGAGGGATAGATCAAACAACCTCCTAGAATCTGAATTTACCATTTGGTGCTTCTGATAAAAGCATTAATGTTCTGGCAGGTTTGTTGAAAGTGTTTCGCAGATGAACATCTCAGCAAAAATAGGGAGAAAGCACCCTGTTTTCTACCATACTTTTAGCAAAGGATAGAGATTAATGAAAATTAGTGGAAAAAAAAGATTTTCTAAAGAGAGGAAGATATAATCTTAAGGACATATCGTGGTAGCTCTAAATAGCCACAAGGGAGCAAGATTCAGATGAACCCACTGTCATGTTAACTTGCCACCTACTGGGTTTACTTCAGATGCACATTAAATACAAATGAGGTTTTTGTTCTTTTCTAATGAGCTGTCCCACCCTATATCTCTCTTCAGACTTGGCTAATTTTTGTTTTCCCTCTTTTGATGCCCCTTAGCAACTCCGATCTCAAGCTCGGGCACTCATCACCTTCGCCGGGATGATCCCCTACAGAACCTCAGGGGACACCAACGCTCGGCTAGTGCAGATGGAGGTCCTCATGAACTAGCTGAGCAGGAAAGCCAGCTGGTGCTTGTTTTTTTGTGCGCTCTTTGAAGGGGGGGGGGGGGGCGTCCAGTTTAATTTTTTTCAGTTTTGTTTTATTTTTTGTAGTATGCATTTTTGTCAACCGCAATAAATTTCTTTGGATTTATATATTTGTTTTATTGATACCTTATTTTACTTTCAACATTTTTCTTATGTTCTCTCATTTATTTATTTCCCTTTTCAAAATATTTCTTCTTTTGGAGGAGAATGGGGAAGATCCTTTAAGTTAAAACCGTAGGAGGCAGGTACAATGTCCTTATTTTACTCCCTGGAGGATTAATGGACCCTTGCGACTGTTTTGCCCCCACCCCAGGTCATTGGCAGTTGACACTCGGTTGTCAAATTCAACCCAAGTAATGCACATAACAGCTGGGTTTGCCCAACTCACTGGACTACATGAAAATGGAGTTGGGTAATTTATGGATTAATGTGTTGTGGGAACCCAGCAATTGCCTTAAGATATTGGGGGAACCAGACTGTTCTACTAAACAATTCCTTCATTTGTGGGGCATCGGATACAAGGTGAACACAATAATTTCGTTCTCCTAACACAGCCATAGGCTTTCTGTTACAAATGATTAGCCGAGATCGAGTTCCACAGTGTTCCCTACATTGTCTCTCACGAGGATCCTTGTTTCTCAGAGTCCCCTATATTGTAATGTTTTGTGCATGGAATATTCATATTCATTAACAAGGTTATAATGAGGAAAAATGACATTAACTTGATGTTTATTACGATATTTATTTCCAGCTTTCTTCCAAAATGCTCAGATTTCCTGCAGTTACTGAAAATAGGGGCAATGAAGAGATGCAGGCGGCTAAGGAATCCTAGCAGGAAGGCAGGCACTGAGTCCCCAACTTTATCCTGCACTGAGAAAGGGATCAAACTGTCCAGCTTCTGTTCTAGGAATCCCAGGCATCCAGGGGTTCTCTGCCCTATGCACTTTTGGCGTAGCTGTCTTTAATTTTAAGGCATGCCAACAAAACCACCTGCAAGCAGAAAGATGGGGCTCCTTCCTCAAAGTGTTGTCAGGGTGTTGGGTCAGAATCCATAACCCACATTGCATGGGGTGGTGGATGAACGAGCCCAGTCCAAATATACCAGAGCATCAAATGGGATGTCGTCAGCCTTGTCCAGACAAGTAGTTCACCCAGGAGCACTAGCTCTATCTTTATTTAAGGTTACGTTAACAGAATCTTGCAAGTCTAAAACTGCATCTCTCCTCCCTCATCTTTACAGTCCAAAAATCTCAGGAGGCCCCTTCTGAGACATTTGCCATGCCCCCATTCCTTCTGCAGGCTCAGCTGCCTCTTACCTGACTGTTGCTTGGTCTGTGACTCTTCCACCTGTCTCCCAAGGTCATTCCCACATACCATTAGAGGTGTGTTTTTCTGATGGATGCTGCTCCACGAAACGTGTGGCTCTGGCCTGTATGAGATAATTAACTTGGCTACTCTTTGTATCCCTTTCTTCTGAATTTGTGCAACACGCTGTGCTATTGAGAAATTAGCCAAGGTTAATTTTAACCCAGCTTAGAATATTATGTAAATGCAGCCACCAGCCTTTTAATAATCTTGGTTAATTGTGATGTGAGATTTCAGCCATAGATACCCTCCAAAGCAGACACACGTGCCAGATGAGAGCTCAAAGAGCAAATGATGTATTGAATACACACTGCATGCTAAGGCTGTTCTCTGTCAATCAATCACTTGATAAGAGAATTAAGCAAAATAGATGATCCAGTGAAGAGCTGCTCTTGAAGGACCACCATTTTTCTTTCCTCTGGGCAGTTCAAAGACCTAGAGTAGATGGATAAGACTCTGACATTGTGAAGACAGAATTTTCAACCTGGTTTTTGGGGGGTATAATTCCCCCTTTCCCCCACTTTGTTTTCTTCCTTGTTTAAACACACACACACACACACACACACACACACACACACACAC